CAGGGGGGCCACGGGGGTTAGGGGGGTCAGGAGGGTCGGCCTTTGGAAGGCCCCTGCTGGATGCACACTCAGGGTGCTGATGAATTCACACTGCGGGTGAGAAACGGCAGGGCCAAGGCCTGGTCCTGCCACCTGCCACTGGCCTGTCCCTCAAGCACATCCATCCAGCGTGCCCCCTCTTGTCTGCAGAGTCCCCCAGGAGAAGGAGGTCCCCAGTCCAGCACCCAGCACAGCTGCCCCCTCAGCCGTGTGAAAGAGGGCAAAGCCCTTGGCTGCAGGGATGGTGAATGGCCTGGCAGGGTGCAGTGGGAGTGACCAGCAGGACACGGAAATGAAGCCAGCTCTCCAAGAGTGACCTCTAGGGGCAGCACCATGGTGGGAGAGCCACCATCCTGGAGGGGCGGGCTGGAGGCCCCCGAAAAGAAGAGTGGGGACTTCCCAGGGATGTGGCGTCAAGGAGTCAGCATCATCCAATTTACTCAAAAGGGAGCGGTGACGCAGACCCAACCGGAGGCTTCTCCCATGACCGCTGAGGGACTCGTGTTAGCGCAATGGACCCCAAGACGCTCCTAAAAGAGGCGACCCTCACCGACAGCAGAGACGCCCAGGCTGCGCAGCATCAGCCCTGGAGAAGCCACCCAGGGAAGCTTGGCGGGGAGGGCCTGCAGTGGGGAAGGGGCCCCGGGTACTCCGACCGCCCTTCCATGGAGGACCCCGCCACGTGGGGTGCCCCGCAGCCAGTCCCTCGGGTGCGTCAGTGAGCCTGGTCTCTGGGACACATGGAGAAGAGGGTGAGAAACACGATGAGATCTGGCCTGTGGCTGAGGCACAGACGGCAAAGCCCCCCTTCTACAGGAAAACTGGTCCCAGGGTGGGGTGGGAGGAGGGGGCTCCCTCTGCACGACTTCCCCACACGCGATTCTGGAAAGGGGCCTCTGCACACCTCACTGCCAGCATCGCAGGGGTCGTTCCTCCCTGTCTCAGCCACTCGGGTCCCTTCTGTTTCAGGAGGGTGTGTGGCTCTGGCTGAAAGGTGAGTGCTGAGGCTACAGATGGCAGGAGCCATAGGATGGAAGGAGGGAGGAGCATCCTCTGCTGGGGTCCTGGGCTGGGGGTCGTGGGGGTGCATGACCTCTGGAGTGGTCCCTGAGGTGACAGCTGGGGGGCGGTCCCAGTGGGGAGCAGGGGTGGCAGGGGCTGGTGTTGGAGGCAGGTGTTGGAGGCAGGCATGGGAAGCAGGCAGGCCGGAGGGTGGGAGGGGCTTGGAGAGGTCCCAGCAGCCAATTCCTGGAAGTGCTAGAAGGAGAGCATCCCAGCGATTGAGCAGGTCAGAGGGCAGTGGGGTCCTCCCACCCAGCATGACGCCAAGAGGCAAGTCCCCAGTGGATCACCATCACCCCCACAGTGCCTGGTGTGTATGGCCATTGACAAGAGCTTGGCGTGTGTTCACTGAGACGGAGGTGGAAAGGGGCTTGGGATTTATCCTGGTGACAATTCAGGAACCCTAAAGGGGCTTTTTAGGAAAATATATTCTAATTACAAAATGAATAAGTGTTTAAAGCAATAACTTGGGAGAAAATAGGAAAAAGAAAAGAGTTCTCTGGTGGTCTGCTCTGCTCTTCAGTCTCTTGTGGGTTCTGTCCCTGCCCTCAGAGGCTCACTCCACGTCCGGCTGCATCTGAGGGTTGGTCTTGTTTGTGGTCAGCTCTTTTATTGTTTTGTCCACTGGGGATGAACATTTTTGACCTCGGGGTGATGTGGCTCCTTCAGGGACCACCCTGTCCCTCTCCTGTGAGAGCCACTGAAGGCACACCCCTGCTGAAGCTGCCCCTGTCTCTCACCCACCCAAGGAGGCCCTGCCTGTCCTGTTTGGGGTGCTCTGCCTCTCTGCCCCTCCCCCTCCTCAGCAGAGCCCTGCCTGCCTCACCTGGTCCATCTTGTGCAGATGCATGAAGTAACCAGCCCCTCTGTTTGCCCCGATGCCCCAGGGCAGGGCTCTCTGGGCCTGGCAGATGGGCCAGGCAGCTGGGGCACTGGGGAATCTGCCCTGGGGAAGGTGGAAGGTGCAGCCAGGCTGGCCAGGAGGCAAAAAAAAACTCACCCCTGCAGAGGGTGGTGAGGATGATGTGGGGACAGGCACAATCCTTGTATTCCCCAAAGTCAGCAGGGCTTGCAAAGATGCCAAGGAAAAGGAGGGCAGAGGGTAGAGAGGCAAGAGGTGGGTGCAGGGTAGAGGGAACGGACCTTCTGGGTCAAGGGTTCTCAGCCTGTGGACCGGGGAGGAACCCAGGGCTCTGTGAACTTGGATGACCCACAAATTCACCTCTTTTATTCCCCTCTTACTTACATTAGTGTTTCCTTCTGTTATGAATGTGGGCACCATGCCAGGAAAACAGCAGCCTCCTGTGAGTGCTCATCTCTCAGCACAGTTGTAGATGATCTGACATTTAGTTTACAGTCAGCACCACCTTGAAATCACCACATTTATCAGGCCCACTGCAGGTTCCTGCTACTAATCGTGTTAATAAAAGTGCTCCTACCTCACAGACTTGTTTTTAATGTTTTGATAACTACGTACCAATATGATTGCTTGCTTCTGTGATTCAGTGTGTTTCACTTTATGCATGTGATGCATTATTCTGTAACGTGGGCAGGTCACAGGCTGCACCAGGCTGCTAACAGGATCAAGGGCACAAAACAGCTTCAGAACAAGACATGCAGATGCCCAGGTGGAAAGGAGTGTGGAGACGAGCCCAGGGCAGCCCCAGAGAGGAGCGATCAGCCCCATCCATGATGTTATTCGTCATTATTATTATGAAATCTGAGCATTTCCAGGACCTCATCTGTTGTGTTCTCAGCTGTATCCCAAACCCAGACCAGAGCTGATGCTCACGATGTGGTGCAACCTGTTAGTAAACGTTCGCCACTGTTTCTATTACAGCCAGGGTGATCACTGCCCCGATCCTCTACCACCTCTTTTCTTACAGGCACTGGGCACCAGGATGAGCACCACTCAGGGCCCAGAGACTTGCTGCTTCCACCTGCCTAAGAGCCATTGTCCTCCCCATGCACCCAGCCGTGCGCTGGGGGCCTCTCCCGACACCCCTTCCTTTCTGCACACAGTGAGTGGGTGCATAGGTCGGAGGATGCAATCCTAATAGTAACCCCTCCTGTGGCCCCGTGAGCCAGTCCATGCCCGGGGCAGTCACCGATTGTACACCGCCCTCTCCTACCCAAGATGCCTTTCAGAAGTGCATGTGCACCTGTCAATAGCTACATCTTGCATTCCTTCATTTCCAGGGGCAGGAAGTCATCGGGGAAAGAGGAAAGAAAATTTTACAGGTAAAGACCAAAAATACTTTATCCCAGCACCGAATGCCATTCCCATGCCTGGACGCTCCTTAACTCAGCCGGGTCCAGCTTGGCCTCACGCTCTGAGGACGGTTGGTCCTGGTGCTGTCTCTGTCACGGAGAAGCTGTGTGTTCCCAAAGGATGCTCAAAAACATGCCAAGTTTGCACATTCCGGCTGCCCAAGGGGCAACGTGTGGCTGGGAGTGAGTGTCCTTTCCTTGCCGTGAGCCCAAGGAGATTGACTTTATGGACAAACATTATGTGAGTGGGGGGTTCATGGGAAGCCGTGTGGGAATCACTCATCCCCACTGTCCTCACAGCTGCCTCAGGTCAGCGCCAGAGCCTGGTCCCTGATAGTTTCATGTTTCCCATCCACATGCTCCCAAAATGTAGTCCACAAATTCATCCGGCGGCCCAGCTCTGCAGTGTACCAACA